ATATAAATAGTGTCCTTTGAATATCATTCAAAGGACAACTAACAAGCAGAGATTGAATTTGTACAAGGGTAGAGAACCATTAGAAAGTGTACCTCATACTCTCCAATATCAAGCTCATCTAACAACTCGGTCAAAATCTTTATGACCTCAAAATCAGGCATCATCTTCTCAAACTGACCAGCTATATCAAAATCACACTGGTAAAATTCACGATATCTACCCTTAGATGGATTATCTCTTCTGTACACCTTAGCTATCTGATAACGCTTGAAGGATGTCAGACCATTCATTGCTACGTATCTAGCAAATGGGACTGTCAGGTCATAACGAAGAGAACAAAGTTCTCCTCCCTGCAAATGTTATCGGGGGAAGGAGAAATCAGTACAAAAAGATCAGGAATAACGCACAACTCAGATTCTAAATAATGAAACAATAAAATGCACCTATTAAATAATCTGTGAATACTTAACACAATCAGACTCATATTTGCTTTTAACTTCTAAAAAAAAACCTTTCCCTGTCCTACCTAAATATCAACTTTGTATTTAGAGAACAGCATAACATACAATTCAGCAATACGAGAAGTAGGGATAGAAGAACACAGGGAGTTCAACAAGAAGAGAAATTTCTAAAATCATGCAGAAAGGTGAAGCCTTTACAAGGAAGATCAAATGTAAACAAAATATATAAACTAATAAAATTATCAATATTCTAATTTCAATAATTAGATGATGGAGAGAGGACAAGTTGCAGTTACTGAAATCTTAGTGAACAGAACTATGAAATATGTCCAACAAGATCTCACACAATTCCTTTTTGAGAAACCAACTATCCCACACCATTGTCCCAATTATATTTATATGTTCCCTTATTTTTTTGACAATGTTGGGTTATGGGCAGCTTGTGCGCATCTCTACAGTGTCGCATCCACCAGGTACCTACTACCTTCCATCAACACAAGTTTTACGGATAGAGATCCATTAAATAAATGGAAAGAAATCTCCTAACATTTTTTGCCTCTATTCGTCCAGCTTCATTGATGCTAGGTCACATTCTTGAATACATGTGAAAGACCGGAATTATGTGTGCCTGTGTGGAACTCCCATGTGACAAGATGCACCAACAAAAATCAACCAATAAATAGCAGTTGAAACAACTAATAAACCTGATCCGCAAGGTCATATATCAATTTTGAGTCTTCTCCATATTTGCCCATCAGAGTTTCTCGCATTTCAAAAGCAGGAGTGTCCAAAGCAGCAGCACCATGCCTTTTAAAAACTTCAGTGATAATTGAGAAAGCTCTCTCTCTTATAGCCATCTGTTCCTTTGCAAAATCACGTGTTCCCTGTCACAAAAGAATTGAACATTTAAATTTCGCTGAAGATGAAACATTAACTACATCCATTTTGTGCACCTAGAAAAAGGAGCTAAAACTATTGATATTCCTTCTAAAGTTGATATGACAACGACAAGACAATAAAGAATATTAGGAGTTAAAAAGAAGGCATTTTAATTCCCCAATTACTAATTTTATGTTCCTCTAACACCGTTTGATAGGAAAGTAAATTATCCAATGGAGAACAGGGAAACATCGTGACGGTAAATTAAAGATACTTCCTCTTTCTGTCAAGGGGATGAAACCTAAAACATTCAGAGATGACACTCCACCTTCTACATGCAAGGCTCCCAATAAAATAGGGAATACACTTGCACATCAATTTTACTGCAGAATGCTTCAGTCTTAAGTTATTTAGTCATCTAACAAATGTTAGCCACTAAGCTGATCAAAAAACTTCGCCACATGGTCTTTCTTGGGTCCAAATGGATTTATAGTTGTTATGGCCTCATAACTTTCACTCAGTTATCCAAAAAAACAAAGGCTTTCATAATAAAGACTCCACCTCTGGATCCTCTCATTATGGGTCATCCGAATATTGTCATTGCATCATCTAAAAGCTAGTGTACATCCTTCAACATTTCCATCCAGTTGCTGGAATACCTCCACCAAACCCCACATGGACAGTAACTATTCCATAAGTGCAGACATTGAGCAAAAAGCATAATAATTGTCTTTGCTAAATTGAATATTGAAAAAGTAATTGAGAGAAAGAGTAAGAGTGAGATTACTTTTGTTTTCAATAAACTTGAGACTTTATTACAGGGATAAATATCAGAATTTTATTCAAAAGTAGTAAATATTAAAGGAAGTATAATTACTCCTAAACAAGTGCTGCCAATTTCTTATTTTCTTGCACTTTAAAAAATAATGTTTCGAAATTTCTGGTTAATCACCAAGGTTGAATTAAAACACTTAATTATTTCAAGCTACTTTTTTGTTTGTATACTGCAAAAGTACCAAACATACTATTGATCTATATAGTATAGTTTTCAGATCGGGTGTAAAAGGGCATACACGAGTTTGTAAGTGTCTTAGACCATTCCACCATTTTCTTAAGGATCCGAGTTGGATGTTCATCATATCACGTGACCTGGTACCAAAATCAAATTTAGCAGGCCTACACCCGCACATCTTTTCACATAAACAAATACAGAAGACAACCAAGTGTTCAACCAGTTGCATAACTATTGGAATCAAACTGCTATGAATAATTCAATAAGGTGAGGAGCGGGTCATACCGAAGCAGCAGAAAAATAGCCTACTTTGCGCTCAAAGAAAAAGAATTGAAAAAATGAGTGGAACAAAGATAACACAGCATGGTTCTCTACCTTTGGCAGTTTAGGCAACCGGCGGCTTTCATTGCTTTCCACGATATCTTTCACCTTTTTCAGTAAAGTGTCAAATCCCAAGTCTTTTGGGTCCAGTAGTGACAAGAAATTGCGAACCAAATTCTCCAAAACCATGACAGTCTGGGACGCCTCAGTCTGAATTGGCATGCTCAGTAGCCTATCCTTCAAAAACTGCACCAGAGCGGTGGTACCTTTACCCAGAATCTTCTTCTTCTTTGCTCCTTTTTTACCTGCTGTCTTTGCACTGTCCTCGCCTACACTCGTATCACCTGAAGTAATGAAGTCCCTTCCTTCCAAGGAAAGGAAAGCAGCCAGGGCTTCCCAAGAAATTATTTGTTCTACCATCACCAGTAAAGAGCTGACATCATGTGAGAACTTAACATATTCCTCATCCGAGTGAGCTGACACCAAAGATGCGAAAAGAGCTTTTAGCTGATCAGGGCGAGGACATTCTTTTATCAGCATTGCAGGAAATTCATCATCTCCAGCAATGCGAGAATCGACAATGTGCTTTGCTCGGTTATAACTGATGTTACCCAAATCCTTGAGGGCCACAGCCAAAGAAAACAACGTGGTGCACATGGAGCTGGCTGTACCAGAAGATCCAGAATTGGATACAATTGCAGAGTTCAATTGGACACGGGTGCTGGAGTGCAGAAGCCGGGAAATCTCCCTAAACTTGCCGTGCACCACGGGAACACCAGAAACTGCAGGTTCATCACCCTCACGGTTAACAAATTTAGAACCGTTAAGCAAGATCTTCAAGTCAGAAGCCACAGAAACAACGTCCTTGGCAGATGAACCATCACCGGAATCATTCAAATTGAAAGCTGAAATGTCAGCCCCCAAGGCCTCGCAGGACAAGGCAGCAATAGCATCAGTAATAACAGACAAAGCTGAACTTTGATGATCCAAGATAGCGGAGATTCCAGCTATTGCTGCCACAGAAAAATCACCTGGAGAAACGCCATCAAAAGTGTTATCAAATGAAATTTGTAAATTAGAGGACGACGACGCATCCTTAAGGATGATATCAGAGAGCTGATTAACAGCTGCAGAAGTGGAAGAAGAAAGCAAAAGCTTGTTTAGGAGGACCACGAGAGAAGCTCTAGCCTCATCGGGTGTTAAATTACTGAGGATTGAAAATGATGCAGACACCGTAGGCGCATTAGTCTTGCTGGTTTTAGAATTAGAGGAAGACGATACTTTGGAGAGTGCTGAAGAGTCTATGCTCAGACGACTGAGTCCATTGGCAATATCAAATACAGAGGAAGATGACAGTGATGAGCCTTTCCCTCCCACTGTTACCATGCGTCTCTCTTCCGCCATGGGTCACCTAATAAGAAAGATGGTGTTGGGTTTTCCGGCAAAATCGCCGGCGAAGGGATTAATGGGGGTTTAGAAGGTGACGGATTTCGCAGTTTGAAAAGAATTGAGGGTTTTTTGGGGAAAAATGGGCTGCTGAAATGGAATTTTGGGAATTAGGTTTTACAAATGGGTTCAACCCAAGAGTTTTGGGGTTTGTTTGGTTTTGCGTTACACTTGGGCTTGAGTGGGGATTAGAATCTTCTTGTTTCTCTTCCTTTTCTCTTTTTGTATCTTTTTCTCTTAAAATCACTTGAGTATTGAGTCTATCGGAAAGTCTCTCTACCTCTATAAAGTCTGCATGTCGTCTATCATCTTTAAACTACACTTTATGGAATTATAGTGACCATCGTATTGTTGTTCTCTCAAAACAAATGCTATATTGCGAATAAATTTATACTTGAAGCATTTTATACCTTTATAAACTTTCGACATTTCAAGATATTCTATTTAGACACTCAATTAAATCAAGTGTTTCAGCTAGACACTTTCGATTTAAATTTTGAAGAAAAAAAAATCACAAAATATATCATCTCCTTAAATTATACAAATCAACCTTAAGTAGAAAAATATAATTTTACGATTTATTAAGGTGAATGTATATAATTAAAAAAAATGAAATATTTTATGTGATTGACTTCACTACCTAATACCTAAATGAAAACACTCGAATAAATCTTTCCAGAATTTGAATCGAGAGTTTCTAATTCAAAACATCTTATTAAGAATTGAGATGTTCAGATGGAATATGGCATAGTTCACATGTATAAATAAAATATCCTGATAAATTCAAATGGCGGTTATATATTATCGCTAGTATATTAATATAGAATATCAATTTTTTACCACAGTCTTGGTATATAAGTTGAATTGAAAAAGAAAAAAAAAACAGTTAAGTTGGTTAACAAAAAGGGCCAATGTTGGCACACTGAAATTCTAATGTCACACTTGCACACAGCTGCATTGAAAGCCACCAAATTAAACCACTTGAAACAGCTTCATGCGCAGCTCTTTCAACGCTCTCTCTGTTCTGACAACTACTGGGTGGCGCAGCTCATCAAACTCTGCACGCGCCTCCACGCTCCGCCCACTTATGTTAACCGAGTTTTCGATTCAGTCCACCAACCCAATGTCTTTATTTTCACTAATATCCTCAAGTTCTACTCTCAATTGGGTGCCCACAGTGATGTTCTCTACCTGTTTGACAAAATGCAGAAATGCAATGTAGCCCCTGATGCCTTTGTATACCCGATTCTTATTAAAGCATCTGGAAAATGGGGCGTTGTGTTCCATGCGCATTGTATCAAAATGGGTCATGATTGGGATAGGTTCGTTCGCAATGCGATTATGGATATGTATGGAAAGTTTGGGCCTTTGGAGATTGCGCGGGAACTGTTTGATGAAATTCCTGAGAGAGCTGTTGCAGATTGGAATGCTATGATTTCAGGGTGTTGGAATTGGGGTAATGAAGTTGAAGCGAGGAGTTTGTTTGATTTGATGCCTGAGAAGAATGTGGTTACTTGGACTGCTATGGTTACTGCGTATTCAAGAAGGAAAGATTTGGAGAATGCTAGGAAGTATTTTGATCAAATGCCGGAGAGGAGTGTTGTGTCTTGGAATGCAATGCTGTCGGGGTATGCTCAAAATGGGTGTTCTGAAGAGGTTATAAGGTTGTTTAATGAGATGATGAGTTGTGGGGTTTGCCCTGATGAAACTACATGGGTTACTGTCATTTCTTTGTGTTCTTCGCATGGTGATGCTAGCCTTGCGGAGGGGCTTGTTAAGATGATAAATGACAAGGGTGTTCGCTTAAATTGTTTTGCAAAGACTGCTCTACTTGACATGTATGCCAAGTGTGGGAACCTTGCTATGTCTAGAAAGATCTTTGATGAATTAGGTACGTACAAGAACTTAGTTACATGGAATGCAATGATTTCAGCATATGCAAGAGTTGGTGATTTGGCTTCTGCAAGAGGGCTCTTTGATACGGTGCCTGAGAAGAACGTCATCTCTTGGAATTCAATTATAGCTGGTTATGCTCAAAATGGACAGTCAAAAGTGGCTATTGACCTTTTCAAAGATATGATAGCAAAAGATGTGCTGCCAGACGAAGTCACCATGGTCAGTGTGATCTCAGCCTGTGGCCACCTTGGGGCTTTGGAATTTGGTAATTGGGCAGTGAATTTCCTGGAAAAGCATCAAATCAAACTGAGCATTTCAGGTGATAATGCTCTGATTTTCATGTATTCCAAGTGTGGTAATATGAAGGACGCTGAGAAAGTTTTCCAATCGATGGACACCAGAGATGTGATTTCTTATAACACATTGATTACAGGTTTTGCAGCTTATGGCAATGCCATTGAAGCTGTTGAATTGTTGTGGAAGATGAAGAAAGAAAATATTGAACCAGATCGAATAACCTATATTGGGGTACTAACAGCATGTAGTCATGGTGGACTGCTAGAAGAAGGTCGAAGGATATTTGATTCAATCAAAGATCCAGACTCTGATCACTATGCGTGCATGGTTGATTTGTTAGGTAGAAATGGTAAACTAGACGAAGCAAAATGTTTGATTGGAAGTATGGCAATGCATCCACATGCAGGAGTATATGGTTCCCTTTTACATGCTAGTCGAGTTCACAAAAGGATAGATCTTGGAGAGTTTGCAGCTAGTAAGCTCTTTGAAATAGAACCAGAAAATTCAGGTAATTACGTTTTGCTTTCAAACATATACGCCTCAGCAAGAAGATGGGAAGATGTAGACAGGGTGAGAGGGTTGATGACAATAGGAGGAGTAAAGAAGACAACTGGATGGAGTTGGATTGAACACAAGGGGGAGATGCACAAGTTTATAGTGGGTGACAGGTCACATGAGCGATCTGCAGATATCCATAGAGTGCTCTCTGAAACAGAAAAGAAGATGAGGCTAGCTGGATATATGGCTGATACGAGCTGTGTTTTAAAAGATGTTGAAGAAGAAGAGATGGAAGAGATGGTAGGGACCCATAGCGAGAAGTTGGCTGTGGCTTTTGCTCTTCTTGTTACTGAACCACACTCGGTCATAAGGGTAGTGAAGAATCTCAGGATATGTAGGGATTGCCACACAGCAATCAAAATCATTTCAAAGATGGAGGGGAGGGAGATCATTGTTAGGGATAATAATCGATTTCACTCCTTCAGTGAAGGGCAGTGTTCTTGTAAAGACTATTGGTAAGTCATGCCTTACTGCACCAACCACACTGATACAAGATGGTTTGTTCTTGATGATCAGCAATATTGACTAGGTTGCTGAAAAGTAGTCTCATGTAAGGCTATGGCAATTTGCTGAATCTTTCAGTATGCTCGGAGATTGCTGATGACAGCTATGCTCAGCTGGGTGGTTTGTTCCAGCAGCAATATTCATGGTGTGTGGATAGAAATACACTTGAACATTGAGAAATGGTTCACGAAAGGCTATTGGTTGATTTGATTTTAGTATTATGAATGTGTACTTAATCCAGAAAAATTATGAATGCAAAAAGTTAAGGGGTGATGATTCCCTGCATTCAAGACTAAGGATCACAAAAAGTTTATGAATTCCTCATACTACCGCAGTGTAGTAGTATATAGATAACCCATTAAAGTAAAGGAAGATGAAAATAGATTCACAAACACAAGATGATAACAGGCACAAATTTCATCTAAAACACAATCCGAAAGTAAGATAACAGAAAGCAAATGTTCATGAAATGGACATCCCAATTCCATCAGCAAACATTTAACTTTGACATAGATTACATTTGATAACTGAGCTATAAGTCCTAGACCTTCCAACACTTCCACTTAATTGATGTTGCTCTAAAATTGCCACAAATTTTAAACTCTAGCTCTCTTGCTACTGCAACTAGGACACTTGTACTGCTTGATATGCTCAGCTTTTGCTGGGGTAATCTTCACACATTTGCCATGGAACCATCTCTCACAAATATCACAGCAAATCCAGAATTCATCCGTGGCATAATTATCACCACAAGCTCCACAGAGAGTTGCCCCTTGTTCTTCTTCTTCTTCTTCTTCCTCCTCCTCCCCACTTTCATCCTCCATTTTAGGTGGAGACACCTTTACTTCCTTGGGCTGGGGCTCTGGCAGTCGAGGCTGAAAATCAAAGATAATAGCTGAAAACATATGCTCAAACAAAATGGGAAAAGAAACAGTAACTATATATGTTAGGTCCAGTATATGAGAACCTTTCCACTTGATTTGCTTTTGCTGCTATTGTTGTGAGCGGCATCGCGTGCCTGCTTAGCAGCTCCAGTTACAACCTCAAACACTGTTGGGAGATCATTTGTCATTTGGAAAAGCCTCTTCCTGTATACATGATTTCCAAAATAAAACAATTATCCTCCCTAAATTAATATCAGATATTGGAAGCCACCTATGTTACTCGGACTCTCCAATATTGATGCCGTACTTGTGTCAGATCCTCCAAAAAATGCACTAATTTTGGAGGATCCGACATGCAATCCGAGCAACATAGGCACATTAATGAGATTGGACTCTAGCTAGGCAAACTATCCAGACACTTGACAGATATAAGTCAAATTTAAGTTGACATTTCTGGACATGTACGCATGATTATGGAATCCCATGCGACCAGTTTCCCAGTATAAACTCCAGCTTATAACGATTTCAGTCATATTTTCACATCCATCAATATCTCTAACCTACAATGGCAGAAGACACAAAAAGTGGACTCCAGGGTAGAAAAGAGGGACCAAAACCTGCTACATGGAAGTTTCTCCCATCATTATACAGCATTTGTGCTGTCCTGAATGTACCGACATGCTAGACATCCTTCGCTTACTCACTAAGCACTAATATTCAAAGATGCTACAGGCTACAGCCAATAATAACAGCTGACAGTAAACCTCTCTCAAGATGAAAACCTTCAGCTGTTCACTGAGTTGAGCACTATTTTATTCAAAGATAATACATTCAGAAACACCAGCTGATGGTAAACATCTCGACATGTCAGGCATCCTTAGCTTTGCTGAATCAAACATTATCTTATTCAATGATGCCACAACGAATGCCACTAAGTGAATGGATTTGCTTTTGTAACAACTAGCACCAAATAACCTTCCTAGAAGAGTGAAAGGGCAAAGAGCATTGCAAATCTATAATCCTTATTTAAAAGGTAATAATAGTAAACAAATTTTATAGTAGAAAACTAAAAATGGAGATGTCTGGAATCTCATCACACCAAGATTATCATTGCAACAAGTCATCAGTATACTCACCAAGACAAAGAAATAACACATCTATTTTCTAAAAATGGGAGATGTCTGGAATCTCATCACACCAAGAATATCATTGCAACAAGTCATCAGTATACTCACCAAGACAAAGAAATAACACATCTTTCATGACGCAAAGAATATGAAACACTGACCAAATGAACTTAGGTTGAAGGTGAACGCACTAAATGAACTTTGGTTGAAGGTGGACTTCTATATATTGCCTAAATAATCTAACTGCTAGCAATTCTCTATTCTAGAGTTCTAAGTTAGTAAGCATGGAGTTCAACAAAAAATGAAAAGTAAGCTCCAACGGGAAAAATGTGAGTTTTAAGCAGCTTGAGGGGAACAACTATGGCAAAGAAGTAGCTCAACTTATGCCACAAGATCCACCCCTGAATAGATAAAAAGAAATCAAGCAAAATCTACCTAATATACAATGCAAAGACAGAGTAGAAGGAAGGGCGGGAAATCCGCACAGAATTTAATAGCAGGGAAGCACATGGCACAACACTAATTTAAATTTGCCAAAAGGTAGCCCAAGGCCTCCAATGTCTTCCATCAAACAGGAAAAACATACACATTCAAATAAAATATAATGGGTAGGACCAAGTTTGCAAGACAGTTAAAACGATAAAGGTGAAATCTATTGGTAACAGATTTTATTTTACCTTTCACTCTTGCCGAACCCAAACCGTGCGCCAAAGTAGAATGCAACAGAAAGCAGCCATGAATCACTGTGAACAGCAACAAGTGATAACCAGTCTTTCTCTTGCATTCCATCACGTGCGAAGTTTATGCCCAATGCTGGCTCCGGAAGTTCTGGAGGCACCTCCTCTACAGGGAGGTTTACTTCCCATGTTTCATTAGGAAGCCCATAGAGACACAAGTTCTCCTTTTCTGAAAGTAAACATAGTTAAATTCAGAAATTGTCATAAACACTTCATAATTGATCTGCATAAGTGATCTATATAGAAAACAAGAATTGAACATCCAATGAAGAAACACACCCAACAAGCCTCTATACAAGGAAAAAGAGAGGGCAAGCTGTGAAATGAAGGGGATAAGAATGATGCAACACAAGAGAAAAATCAATTATCCTTACAACTTCCAGGCTTTAATAAACTTCTACGAAACCTTAAATAAGTGTGTAATCTATCGGACTAAAAACATTAAAGAGAGATATAAACTGTCATAAAGGCCGACACAACTGTTTGAAATATAGAGGGAGTAGTCTATCGATATCATTGTCACAAAGGTCACAATGAACATTTAAGCAAATGGGATCAAAATAAATAACAGCAACGAAATAAAGAATTTAGACCAGTTCTTCAAAATAGAGTTTTTAACAGAGACTGTTGAATAAGTATAAACAGTTAGTCACTGCATAAAAGAAAGGAATCAAATGCTCGGGATAAAGCCACGGTATGTTTCCCTACTATATCAAATACTTCAAAAACAATTAATGAATACTGGAACAAGAAAAGCACCTCTAAAATTGCCAAATGCAAAATAAGGATTTCCAAATTGTTTTTTCACAGACCAGAAATACAGTACTCTCACCTCCTACCCCCCATCCCCACCCCACCCACCAAAACCCCAAAGAATAATGAAAAAGAGAAGAGAGAAAAAACTTACCAAGAAAGAGAAAAAAAAGGAAAGAAAACACATACTTCAACCCACTTTAACTAAGCTGCCTCCAGACACCTTAAGTATGTATATACACCAAATGCATCAACATAAAAAATGTCATAAAGACATCAAAGTGGTTTCAACACTCCAATCATATGCACTTTTACCCATCATAAACAAGATAAACAATCAAGACCCCACTTGTGGGATTATATTGGGTATGTTGTTGTTGTTGCTGCTGTAAGCAAGATAAACGATGGTTGGAGACACTGCCACTGTGATAGAGAAATGATGATCATTGCTACATAAAAGAAGTTCTAACCTCTTCTTCCTTGAGAATTGACAAAAAGTCATCAAGACTACAACGAGAACAGTTCTGACATTGACATTCTCACTAAATGACACAAAATTCTAAGTAATGATCTCATTTTACAACTCATATTCTGGAATGCAGTTTGAGATCATGATAATTCTGTTGAAAATGCAGAAAAATTACTCTTTCAAAATTGAAGGCGACAATTAACTACTTAATAAAGATATGATCTTTCCATTCCTGCATGGCAGCCAAAGAAGAACATCAAATGACAAAATTATATAGGCAGTCAGAAAGCTCTAACCATGAGTTCTAGGCCACTCCTTGGGACAAACAACATTGAAGTTCCAAAACTGACACAAAGACGGGACAAGAAGCAAATTATAAGATTCTGAAATATTAAGTCACAAGTCCTAATCAAGTTGCTAAATCACTCTACCAAATTGACAATGAAATCCCAAAATACACTAGGAACATTAAACAGCAGAAATTTAAAGAAAAAACAGGAATATAAAGAAACAGTCCCAGAAATTAAAAGCTATAGCCTTATAGAAAAATATATGAGCTTGACTCTTATAGGAATATAAGAGTCACAAAGTCCTAATCAAGTCGCTTAATCACTCAACCAAATTGACAATGAAATCCCAAAATACAGTACGAACATAAAACAACAGAAATTTAAAGAAAAAACAGGAGTATAAAGAAACAGTCCCGGAAAACTTAAAGCTAAAGCCTATAGGAAATATACTGCATTTAGAAATACACCTCAAGCTCATAGCACAGAAGAACCAAATGTGAAAATATTGATGGACCACAACAATCCATCAAAACTGAGCAGCAGAAAACTCACCAGGATCACACGATTGATAAAACTTCTCGACATCTGCATAATTTTAAAAAAAATATCAAGAACATCATAATTAGCAAAACCAACAAAATTCAGAAACACCCAGAAAAAAATTATGCTCAAAACCCCATAAAAGTGCATGAAAATTCTAAGAAAAAAAAAAGGAAACAACACTACAAACCTGTAG